GGGAAACTGGAGTATCGGACCATCCAGTCCTGAAAGGGCTGTATTTTTTGACCCAGACACAGCTATGGCTTGAATAGATGGGTCTGTCCCACAGAGTCACTCAAGAACATTCATCTGAATTAATTAAATGCCCAAATTTATGTTGGGGCACATTAAACTTCTGCATGGCCAATTTTATTCAGAATTAATGTAGCCTTTGATTCTGAGTTAAATTGCACGGAAGAGTTTAATAAGAGGTAACTAATGGGGTTTCAAAACTAAATTTGGATTCATCTTCCTAGAAGCTATCGGGTGAGCCCTGGAGGGATGAGCCTTACAGAGACAAGAATCTGGGACAGAGAGGTTTGAGGTGGGTACAGACCTGACCTCCCAGACTTTGCAGAAGGATGTCACCCCTTCTCTCTCCCTGCTTGTTATTACAGCAGCAGCTCCTGGCTGTAGGTGCAGGCGTACAAGGAACGAGGCAGCCACCTGGGCATGAATCACTGCCTGAGCACCCAGTGCCCCCCTTCCTCTTCCAAGGAAATGGGAAGGGAAAGCACCGGCAGAATTTTAGCCATCTTGCTAGAAGCAGTTCCATCATGATGTTTAACAGAGGCTTCAGTCTGCAATTAGGCACAGCTCTGATTTGTAATAAGGAATTTAACAGTGCTTCTCCCACAGGATCTGGAAGGTAAAGGTAGGACATAACTAAATAGTTACGAAATGATGTTTAAAATCCCTATTCAGCAGAAACTAGCCAAAGCAGTGTATGATTTGCAAGCTGAACAATATTCGCTTAACAAGGCACTTGTGCACATTACTGCTATTAAGGAATCAATACACGTGGGTGCAGGGCTACACACAGTTTATTGCTCCTCCCTTGCTTTGCTCTGACTCAGCACTGAACCCGTATGATTGTGCAGGTATTACCCAGGCAGCTAGAAAGTTTCTTGTGATAAATAGTGGTGTAGCCAAGAAAACAACAAACAAATCAGGCATATTTCTCCCTGTCTGACTCTTGCAAGGTTGGGCTTTTGTTTTCTTTCTAACTAGAACCTCAGACTGGTGCTTCTCTGCAGCCCAGCTCTGCACCACCTACTGCCTTCAGGAACCTGTCTAACAGACAATTCATCTTTCAGCGTGTTCACACTTGCACAATTACAATTAGTAGGAAAAATTTCCTCTGTTCTACAGCAAACAATGGAAAGGATTGCATTTACCTTTCTGCTCAAAACAGTTGCTTTCAGAGCAAGTTATGAAACTCCCTGCTTCTCAGGTCAGGTTTGTGTCACATGAAGGTGACACATGAAGGTGTTGTCATTCCTCACAGCCACTTAGTTATTAAAGCTGCAATAGCCTTGTCCTAGAGATCCAGTTTTCTTCCTCAAAAAGATCCCAAACCATAGGAACCTAAATCATGTTTTCCACTGCAAAAGAAATACATTTAAATGGCTAAACAAGCTGCAGCTCAGCTCCTCACCTGCTTTTGTGATGAGATGTAGTATTTTGCCCTGTGTTCACACACAATTAGAAGGAACAGCAACCCTTGTGCACCAGCACGTCATCTGGGCTCTATCAAAGACATCAAGGAAACTGCCCTCCTTATGTGGTACCAGAGGTGCCTAGTGGGACTTTCTGCTCTGAAGCATCCCTTTAGGCCTGAGCTCAGCAAGGTGAGCTCGACCTATTGGAACAAGTAACCATCTAAAATTAGGCATGTGCTTAAACACTTTGTCAGGCCCAGGCTCCAGCTTTGGCTGCAGACTTAGTCTCTCCCAGCACTGTTCTCAACAGCAAGCTCCTTCCACTCCATCCCCACCCATCCAAGTCTTTGGGGAATGTTGCCATGGATTTCCACGGGACACAAAAGAGTCCATATTGGAAGAACCCTGTTAAGGTTGCTAGGCGTAAATATTGACTTAACGGCTCTTCCGCCTTTTTTCTTTTTTAAGAACAGATTTGTTGGCCACGTCTGGAAAAATAAAATGATGGAGTATGCATGATTCACTCTGGCACTCACACAAACATGCAGATCAGTTGGCTGGCAGCTCGCTCCTCTCTTAGCAGAACATCGCTTCTAAAATGTGTCATTTTGTTTTGGCAGCAAGAGTGTCCAAGCCCACAGACAGAGAGATAAAATCTCCTACCTTCCATGTACTCCACACGGGGACCACTGACCTTCCCCAACAGAGAACATTGGGTTAATAGCTCCAACAGCTTTTTAGCTGAGACACACAGAAGGACTGAGAATTGTTTCACACTGAAAGCCCAGCCCAGAAATCTCCCTTCTTGCACGTACTCTCCTGGGTTTGCTGGCACAAGATATGACCTCAAAATAAACTGCAGGTAAGACTTTTCATTCAGAAGTCTTTTTATTTGAAAGCAGTCTGGAAGCTGCTCCACAGACAATAAATATTGAAACAGACAGTAACTGCTGACAGAAGGTCACACGGGAAGCCAGCAGAAGTAAGAGGGGACCAAGGGTCGTTTGATTCATGTTTTCATCATCAGGTGCTACTTCCTGCAGTATTCCATGCACAAACCTTTAATTCTGGATTTAAAAAACATAATTTAAAATACAACTGCAACACACAACATGACTCAAACCCTTCTCCATATTGGTTCTCACAGATCTAAATGATTGGGCAGGACTGGCAGGGGACAAACCTCCACCAGGGCAGCACGAGGTACAAAGTATATGTGATACTTGTGTTTACCAGTCCTTGTCATGGCCAGTACAATCTCTGACTGTCCCTAAAAATCGGCTCAAGACACACAGGGGCACAAGCAACTCATCTGAGAGCTGGCAGAGGCTGCACAGAGTATGTTCGGGATTCCCCATTTCATATAGAACCAGGGGAACCACAAAAAGAGCTGCGTTTCACAGCACTCAGCAGACGTCTGCTATAAAGTAGGTACCTCATCAGGAGGAAGACAAAAAATGGATGGAATGATGGAATTTAGGAGGAGAAAGTCCAGTGGCAGACAAGAGATCCTTCTTTAAAGGATCACAAGGAGTTTGCTTGATTTCAGCTAGGCAGGGTGTCCTTTGGGACTTTTATACCACTGGGGTTTAAGCACTCACCATAATGCAATACCAGCAAGTGAGATGAGGATCAACACATGTGCATATTTGTATTTGCGTTGCATCCATCCTCTGTGTCTCTACACCTTCCTCTCAAGGAACAGGGACCTATTCCTCCTGCCAGGCATCCTCTGTGCACATTCCCTTCACAAGTGGCAGTCGGTGCAAGGCACAGCCACGCAGGGCAGCCCAGGGCTCTGACACCCTACCCACTACTTAGACCACACATAAACTAGCAATCCCCACTCAGTATTAAACTACAAGAAGCAAAAGCAAGGACTCTTAGATACCTTTGAAGCTTAGCAACAGCCACTCAGGATCCACTCCACCTCTCCAAAATCTATTTTTACTGACAGCTTTTGAAGCAGAGAATTCATCAAACAGAGAAACAGGTTGATATTCCCCCCCACCCACCCCCCGCCCAACTGTAGGCAGATCCAGTTTGTTATTTTCTAAGTGTTTCCTTGGTGGCACATACACATTCAATACTATGTCTACTAGCAAAGATGTCTATTTTCAGAATAAATACAATGACATGCAAAGCTAGTATTAGCAACAGTGAAGTAGAAGACATCAAGACATAAAAAAGCATAAATCTCTCTTTTGGTTGCAATGTGCATAGGACAAGAGACCAAGTAGATCTAATTGTAGGAACCCTTAACTGCACGCCAACATTGGTGCTCTTATACCCACACATGAGTATCAGGGGACAAACCATACAAAGGCTTTTTCAAGTTGTCAGTTATTGGCCATTATTAGCTGGCAATGGAGATGGCAATGACTGAGCTTTACAGAAGGTTCACAATAACATCACACACCAGGTCAACATGCTGCATTTATCACTGGGTTTACATTGTACTGATCTGATACAAGCCCAGCAATGAGCATGCAACTGCAATAAATGCTTGTAGCTGTTTGGAGTCTCACTTACGTCCCTCCACTGAAAAGGATCCCCTTTGCCTACTGAGATGGCTGAGTTTGCCCTTGAACCTGCTCCTTTGCCTTAAGCTGCCTGAGCATTTAGTTCAGAAGTCTCTAGTTAGTTTCAAAGATTTAGGATTAGTTTTGTCACATGGTGCCTAGATGATCAGCCATCAGCTCCTACATGACCAAGAGCTGAGGCAAGAAGTCCAACTAGAGATAGAGTCCAGCGAGAATCAGAATGCCCCAGTCCATCATAAACTTCTGTACCTTTGTTCTTCCTTTAATTCAACCAGAAGAGAAGGTACTTTTAGAAGTTTAAACAAGTTACATGAACCAAGCCTAATGCAACCAATCTCTTTCCATTTCTTGGAAAGAAAGTCAAGGGTGATGAGTTCAGAGCCAGATGTCTCAAGTATGGTGAGATGAATCCCACCTTTAGGGCATAAGGTGGGGAAGAGGTAAGGATCAAGCTTCTAATGACTTCACTGAATTCATAGTGAGCTGAATCGTGAGCTGACTTTTTCTTATCTGTGTATTCCAGACATGGTCAGGAAAATATATACGCTGTGGACAATCCTGGTAAGTCCTCCTTCCAGAAGTGACAGAGGTTCCTCTCCATGGTACAGGTTATCACCTGTACCACCATCTCCTACAACAAACCATAGCAAGCCATAGTTTTAGAGCAATTTGTATAGAGACTGTTTTAAGCATTTGGAGATTATAACCCTGCTCTTGCTCTCCCCAAAGCCAGTGACCCAGCTGCTGGGAAGAGCAGTGGATAAGGTCTTTTTATGGCATCATAGGCTTTACTCCAGTCTAAATCCTCTTCTTTCCCACTATTAACACAAAAGATAACCAGAGCATTTTCCACTATATTTTCAGCTTCAATCTTGCCTACCTGTGATGGGCTGAATAACCTGTCAGTCACACTTGTCAATCACTGTTCCTGCTCCTTAAATGCAATAGACTCATTGAAGTGAAGAAGCAGAAATGAAGGTCTGGTACTTACTTTCTCAGGACTGCAATTTCATTCTCTATGCTGCTTTCCTTTCCCTTCAGTGCCTTCTTGGGAATGCACTTGACTGCAAAGAGTTTCCCACTTGCTCTCTCTTCAGCCAAAACAACTTCAGAGAATGCACCCCTGAAAGAAGAAAAGAAAAACCCTGGTTTTAAGTGGTGCCTTTTGTTTGAAAGCTGTTAACTGAAATGTATCGTTAAATCCAGTTCTTCTTGTGCCTTTTGAAAGCTGCTCTTACTAATCACAGTAATGGCATTACGAGCATCTTTGCCTTTACAAACATATGCAGACATCCACATTCACACAAAGCACTGAAGGCTTACTAAATACAACACTTTAAATAAAGGGCCATAGTCCAGCAGATGTATGAGGAAAGCTTGGAGATCAGAAAGTACCATTTCTGCACACAAAGGCATGGACCATGATCCGGCTGCTGATTTAATGGATGACGTACTTTTCCCTTCCCTGAGGTTTTTGGAGAAGCAGCACAAAGTCCCTAGGACTAAATGACGCACCAGTGCCAGGAATGCTCTCGGTCCCTGAGTGACCACAAGAGGTCAGGGCCTTCGCTTTGGTCCTCCCTGGCAGCCAGAGCATCTTCCTCACCGTTGGCTCAACCCTGACTCAGACAGGGAAGCAGCATCAGAACTTCTCTATGTGTACTGAGTTATTCCACAACACAAACTGCTGTGTGTAACCGCTAAAGCCAAAGAACTGGATTAAATCACAGGTCCAAACAGCCTCCCTATGGTTACCCCAGAGAGGATTACACAAATAAAGAAACTTCATCACAGCAGCCAGCCACTAATTGCCAAGAGTGGGCAGTGCCTCTCCTCCATTCGATTATTCCATAACAGTGTATTATTTCTTGCACTTTCATCATTTCCTCCAAAGCATCTGGACCTGACTGAGAAGAGGCCAGGAAAATGTTACAGTCAGTGCTATATACACATTTTTTCTGTTCTCACACTGTTTTCTGAGCATTCGAGCATCATTTAGACACTTGGTCTGGGCAGACCTTTGTTGTGGCACATTAGGACCATTCTCATGTTCTGGCGCTCGTTACTGCTGCAGCAGCAAAGTACTGGGCCAGGCAGAGCACTGGCCTGATGAGGAACAGCAAATCATTCCTCCTATTCACCAAATCCTCTTCCTGAAACACCCGCTTTGTCCAAGAGTGATCAGAGACAAGGAGTTGTCTAACCAGATCACAAATGAAGGATCCACCAGCTGAAGGTTCATATTTTTTTTATACAAAATAAAATGCAAGAAGCTTTTCTTTATTATTTCCCCCCCATCAGTAGATTATTCTGCTCTTCTACATAGCTCTCTGTTAACAATGCTTCGGGAGCACACTGAGCAAACCCAACCACACTCCAGCCCACCCTTAAAATGTTAATGTTTGATCACAGGTTCATTTGGCTACCACAAACTTTCTCTGACTTTCACTCCTCACAACTGCTTGTGGATAAACAAACAGAAGCGTTTCCTTTCCTGGCCAGGCTCTTCTTTAAGTCATGCACTTTGATGACACAACCAAGCAGCTGTGACCTCAACCAACAGTTCCTGAGTTGCAAAATGACTGAATGAATCATTAAGCCTGTGGATAAGTGGATAAGCAGAAGGAAGAGGCTGCTGCTTTGGAAAGCAAGTGCTTTTTTACCCAGAAATGCCTTTGTAACCAGCAGTGATAGGGAAATGGCAATGGGAAGTTTAGGAATGGATGAAAAGAGACTTCTGCAAACTGTTACGGCGGATGTCTGACGACTTGTCTACAAGTGGCAGTGATGCTCTGAACCGAGAACATTTTGCCTCATTTCTGCTAAAAAAGACAGACTCTGACCACGTTCACGCCACTCTTAACTACAGGAATGATTCACTGTTTTCTGCTTTGTGTATCATCTACCATAGCACGTCAGAGCATCATGAACTCCGATTTAGAGTCCAAGCATCTCATCCTAATGGCTTGTGCAAACAAGCCACCCAAAGTGTTTTTGAAGACTTACTTTTTGCTTTCCCATTATCAACAGTCTCAGTCATTTGATTCATCAAATGGAGGTTTTGTCCTGACCCTCATGCTTGGGACAGCCAGACCATAACTGCAATACAATCCTTTTACTGGAAAGCCCTAAGACCTCTCAGTGCTTATCAGCTTTGGTTGCAGACCAGGGTGCTCAGAAACTTACAGGACTGCTCCCAGCTATATTTCATGAACCCTTTAAGTCCCATCTGCTTAAGCTTTCAACACTGCATTTCACTCCAGCTGTGTCTTAAACAAGCTTTTTGCCTTCAGTTAAATGCCATTAAAAGCAGCATATTAATACCAGTCATTTACTGATCGTACAACACTCCCAGCATTTCAATATTATAAAAACACAGAGAACTCTCATCCCAATCTCGATTTCATTGCTGTTCTCAGACAACAAAACAGAGGAAATCCCTTTATATCCCTCTATGCAATAAAGAGGCTTTGGGAAACACCTCTATTTCAGCTGCCTTCACGGTGTTGCTGGATTTCTTTCTCCACTTATCAGGACAGCCACGGGGTTCATTGCTTGGAAACAGCCTCTGTGAATTTAAATGACAATTTTTCAGGAGCTCCAAGATACTCATAAAACCCAATTCCATATCTCCTTAACAACATTTCTCATTAAAGCATGAAATAAGCTGAACCTCAGCTAAAGCATTTGCTCACATGTCAACGCTCAGCACTGACAGGGTGCTTTTTCACATTGAATTTTATATGAGGCCATGGCATAAAATTGATGGTGCTGGGAAGAGCCCCCAGGCAACAGCGTGGGAGCACTGGGGTGGATCTGCCGGGAAGGCAGGAGGGAGATGCCAAGCGGTCTGCACTATCCTGTGCAGTATATGTGCTCCTGTGTCCACAGAGCAAAAGGGTTGGGGGTAACAAGAAGTCAATAGTCAAAAAGATAAGTGAAGTGCTGGAAGGAAAGAGAGGGGAGGGAACAGATGCAGATAGGGATCAAAGAGTTAAACACAGACTGAGAGGAACCATTGGTACAGGGCAGGAAGAAAGAAATGATACCAGGGAGCATCAGCAAGGAAAAGGCAGCAAAGACACTCCTGGAGTCAGGAGAATGTCAGAAATAATAGTGAATAGATGGGCAAGCAATTATCATATTTCAAACACACAGCTGAATCCATCCACCCTTAACAAACGCATCCAACCCCAACTAAACCCCTCTTGACTCATGAAAGAATAGATAAATACCAGAGACAAAGTCAGAAAGACAAGGCTGCTTGTTTTCTTGCTAACAGGAATATGTTATGAGCAGATTCTCTGCTTCCTCAAGTAAGTTCCCCAGAACTACTGACTTGGCAGGCTTGTTAAAGACAGCTCTTTCCCCCAGAGAATTCATGTGGCCTTTAAAATCAAGACATTAATGAAGGAAGCAATTTATCTGTAAGAATTTACTACGATTCTTTATTGGGGGTTAAACATTAACTGTGTACAAAGTTCTGTAACAGTGTTTGGATTTGGAAAACGTTGCAATTTACACCATCACAATGACAGGACTTCTTGTGAAAAGGACATTGCTTCCATTAAGCATCATCAAGCCATGTTATATGATAAAAAAAGGAAAGAAAAAAATATAGAGAAGTTGGAAAACCAGAATGTTACATGTCTTCAGCTCAGACAGGGCTCTGGATTAAAACTCCACCTCTCCTAGGACGTACCATATGGGCTCTACAACACATTATGTTCCCAAGCCCTGCTATTTGCATGGATATATGCCATTATCTCCACGGTCATCGCACTGAGCCAGAAAGAGATTCAGAAACCTCTTAGTTAATCTTGTATTTTGATCCAAGAGGTCTGGAATTTCATGCATGGAAAAAACACTATTTCTGTGAAGGCCACAGGCAAACAGGGGTATTTTTTTACTCTCTGAAATACTGAGATACTGAGAAGGTGTTTGTGAAAATATTTGGTGAATTTTATTCTCCCTCCTCCCCCAAAAAATATGGTTGAAAAAAAGTATTTTCACACTCTGATACAGATACTTTTTTTTCTTTTTAAATAGGGAGAAGAGGTTAAGTGATTAAAAGTTACGATTTTAAAAGGCATCTGCAAGGGTTGGAATGCCTCGAATGAGACATCCCTTCAGCTGGGAAAGAGGTAATTGCAACCTTCCCAATGTGCCTGTAGGCCCAGCCTTTGGTCTCTCTAAAGAGGGGCTTCAACACCCTTCAGGAGCTCTCCTTGTCCTGCCTGGACATTATAGCAAACAAAAAAGCATCACAGTTTTAAGGAAGTAGGACAGCATGGAAATGGTGAGAAACTTTGTAAAATCAAACCACCTTTAGCTGCTGAGATACGTGCGCGATAACAACCTATTTTTGCAAGTTTTGACCATGTTATCATTTACTCCAGAGGATCCATTCTTTTCAAACTTCTAATTAAGGCATGGAATAATTTTATGATCTAGATCATTTTTATATGATTAGGAACAATATAAGCTTGGGGGGAAGGGAGGTTAAATGATTTGATGAGTGACATTGAGATAATGGCAAATTCTAGAGGGTGATCAAGATGTTCAGACTTCTCACCCCTTTGCACATATCTGGTCCATGCAGCATCCTATGACATGCCAATCTTTTATGGTTTTAATTGGTTTAAATGATTTCTCATCTGGTTATTTTCTTTAATCTAGATTTAAAGATTAGGACTTTAACATGAACATTAGAATACAAATAGCATTCGTACCTAAACAGACTGGGTTTTCTTTTAGAGAACAATGATTGTAAGGCTAGGCTATCCTGCAGATCAAAGCAAAATAAAGGACAAAGAACTTCTTCTTTCATCTGTTTGAACTATAATTTAATACAAACACTTGATTTCTGAAATACAATGAACAACATAACTGTGACAGCAGGTCTGTTCTTATTCTCAAAAGGAACTGCTGTCACAAAAATACTGACAAACTGAAGACAAAGACTTGATGGAGGGGTAAAACTTAATTTTTCCATTTGCAGAGACCTCCATGTTGAGCAGTTTTCCACTGCATTAGCAGGTGCTCTGTCATACTAAATCAACAGACATAGTCAGCAAACAGATTTCATGTCTTCAGGCTGTGTATAGCTAATGATCTTAACTA